TTTACCCCAAAACAACAAAACACAGATTATTTTCAAATGCACACAGAATATTTATCAAAGTTGACTATATTCTGGATCTTAAAGCACAGCTTAATCAATGTCAAAGGATTTCAATCATTTGGAATATAGTCTCTGAGCACAATGGTTTTAAGCAAGAACTCAATAGCAAAAAGATAATTAAACTCATTCCTGTACCTTGCTGAATACAATGGCCATCTTTCAAAGGTATTGCCCTGAAAAGACATCAAAACACAACAGTGCTTTGCAGTGGGTGGATGTTCCAGTCTCTGAATAGACTGACTGTGACACCCTCCTTATGAATGTTACTTCCTGTTTGGGCGGAAACATGTAAAAGCCCCAGGACTCTGCTCCCAGCACTCAGAGAAGGGCCGGTCTCCGCTGGAGTGAGAGCGAGAGAAATCTCAGCCAGACACAACCTCCTGTCATGCTCCTGCCTGGCCTGCTGTGGGCATTCGTGGCCTCCTTTGGCTTCGGTACGAGTGGCCCTGCACGTGTGGTCTCAGCTTCCTCTTAGAGCTCAGGGATGGGGCTGTGCAGGTTGTGCCTGGCGGGGATGTGCAGGGGGGAGAGAGGCGGCGAGATGAAACACCATGCGATCCTTTTCTTTGTCTTTGTGTCTGAAATTAATCTAGCCCTCATGACCCATGAGACATTTCAGAGGAACGACCCTGTCTTCTCCTTTTTCCATAGGATCCGGGATGGCTGCGAAAGTAACCCAAACTCAGGCCACAGAAACAGCACAGGAAGGACAAGCTGTGACCATGCACTGCACGTATGAAACCATGGCATCGAGGTATACTTTGTACTGGTACAAACGGGCTCCCAGCGGAGGGATGGCTTTCCTTATTTATCAGGATGACAATAAGGCAAATGCAAAGCGGGATCGCTACTCCGTGAACTTCCAAAAGGCAAACCGATCCATCAGCCTCACCATCTCATCCTCTCAGCTGGCAGACTCAGGAAAGTACTTCTGTGCTCTCTGGGATTACCACGGTAAGAGAAATGACAGAAGCAGCTAATCAAAAACCTTCGGGCTCCACCAAGGCAGCCACCTGCTCAGAGACTTCGGAGAATCCCATGAACCACAGACAGGAAGGAGGCAGGCACTGCG